GCTAGTGAAATGCGGTCCTCTGATCGAGCGCTTGTACACAAGGACGCAGGTCAGTCATGGTTGTCGCAGAAGTGGAGTTAGTACGCTAGTACGTTGGTACACACGAGACATGCAGTTCTTTAATCGAACCCTTGTACGTTGGTACGCAAATCATTCATGCTTGTTCTCGAGGTGTAGTTAGTACGCTAGTGACATGCAGTCCATTTATCGAACGCTAGTACATAACGACGCAGTTTATTCATCGGAAAATTGGAGTTAGTACGCTAGTACGTTGGTACGCTAGTGACATAGTTAGCATACGTACTGATAGTACTGTAGTACTGGGGAACACCGTTAGTACTGTAGTACTAATGACTAAGCAAAAAACTAAAAGAAATCTTTCCTAAAACGGGCAGCATATGTATTCCTAATTCTAGGACTGGTCAAGTTACTTCAATGCATTAACACAACTAATGATTGTCAAATTTTGGGTTGTAACTGCATATGTTCATGTACCTTTCTTTGTCCACAATAATAGTTTGGATTTCTTCTACAAACCAAGCTCCATAAGAGGTCTGCAAAGCAGTAAGGAGTCACAATAAATACAGACATTTAACAAAGAATCTAGAGCTACATGACTTTGTTATTGTTGGAGTTCATAAGTTTAATTAATGTTTCTGTATACTTTATTTCCTTTACTTCCCTATTTTCTTTTATTGTCATAACCTGAAATGAATCAAGGACAATGAAATTGGTTGATAACAAATTCTTACAAGTCTTGTTTGGAGAATTTGGTGTTGGATCCACTAATAATTCCCTTATTGACATTTTTCCCTATTCTTGTCATTTGTCTGCTTGATATTGTATAGAGAAAATCTAATGGAAATGAAAGGGTTGATAGGATTCATGGTGCATACAGTCAGAAAGGAAGCCTCTTTTTTTGGGGGAACACAGCAGGCACAGGCACAGGTATATAGTTAACTTTAACTTAGCTAGATAGCTTGGTTTTAGAAACTGAGTTGATAATGTAATTAGCCACCACAAAGAGTCTCTGAGTTGACATTACCCCTTTGTCATTTCCTCTGACAAATGGCTTACGCTTGAAAATGCCACCTTGAAAACTTTTTACAATGGCCAATCTACATTATCAACTCAGTGGATAACTCCAAATTATCTTGCTACAACTCTCCCATGGACGCAGGTCCTCAGTGTCTTTTAAGATTCACCTCCTTTAAAATTTAGCTACATGTTCATGCACATGTAACAGCAGCAAATGATTAAAAATTACTGGACAAAAAAATGTAGTACTTGCCTTTAGGAGCACCTGAGTAGCCTTTTTTAAAGGACATGGAGAACATTTGAACTTGAGAGCCCAGTCTGGACGCCAATAGGCAACAAGAAAAATAAATCCTCCTGTGCAGCACCCCAGCAAGTAATAAATGATGCTCTGGAGGAAATCGAAATGAAAGGTACAAACAAAGTGACAACTACATATGGATACCAATCAGAAGATAACATTCAAGAAATGGTCTTCTCATAAATTGCCACTAAACAAGATGATCAACAACCAAAAAGTTTGAAATTCATGCTTTGTTTATATTTTGTAAATGTAAACTTTATTGAGGCTGAATAGCATACATGCAGCAAAGTTTGGTACCCACAGAAGTTTCTTTATACTAATTGTGGTTTACAGAAAACAAACAATTAATTAGGAGAAGTATATGTATTGTTTTGTTACAAAGCTGATATTTAATTTTATTTATCTCCAGGAGTTTATTTAGGCAAGAAGAAACTGTTTTTGGTTGTTTTAAGAGTAGAACACCCTCATCACTGAACTTTTTTCTTCCAGGGTAAGACCAACATATGACGGACAAGTGAAAAACAGATCAGAGACCATGATTGTCACCTTCTTTGAAGTGGAAGTCAGTGCTGGAAGCAATTCCAAATTCTGCGCATATGCATGTGAATGATGGCATGTCATGGTTATAATTTATCTGGCTGAAAGTTGGGTCATCTGGAAGAACTGATTCACTCTGAATTCCACTCATCTCAAAAAGAATCTTTTTGACTGCGAAGTAGATGTGAAACATCAGAAATGCCTTGATCTGTTCTGGACCTTATTGAGAACTTCACGAGATATTCCACAACCTATAGTTGTGCACCATACTGTGAAGTTGAGCTGTTGAGGCCAGTGGCTTATATTTGGCCCAGTGAGCCATCTCTTTGATTCTGTACCTGAGGTGTGCTTTGTGAATATTCCTCTGAATTTTACATTGAAGTATTGATTTGGGGTAACAAAGCTCTTAATCTCTTCATTCAAGCAGCTGACAGGATTCTCATAAAATGGAACTGTGGCAAGCCTCCACCCACTTCCTTCTTTCCTATGTGGCTAGCCCCTTCAGGGCCTGGCAGAAGCCTCAGAGTGAGTTTCAGGGGGAAACCTCCAATTCCAGCTGCCTTCTTCATGATATCATCCCAATATCTTCTGTCTGATCTTGAGATGCTCATCTGAACTCCATCTGATCGATTTAAGTAAACTTCAGCTCTTGCCCATCTTTTATTATTCCACGCTTTTGTCCTTGCTTTATCTGAAATTTTAATTGCTTCATCTGATCTTAACCACACAAGCCCCAAAGGGGCTGGCTATAGATTGGCAAGCCTCGAAGAGGCAGGCCCTAAAAGGGTACACCCCAAAAGTTCGAAACTCAAACAGTTAAACATTTTTATTGCTTTTATAATCAAAATGGTTGTTCTGACAATTATTGCAGGGTAAAATGATCACAAGGTTCACTTCAAAGAACCACCCAAGAGCAGCAGTGAAAAGTATAAACAAATCAGGCTTGTGAGCTGTTCTTATTGGTAGAATTGGAAGCAAACTGGAGAAATCTCTGTATTCGATTCTCAGGGCAATCCAACTGTAAAGAAAATTCCAGAAGGTAATTATTCCCTCAAAAGCCTCTGCTAAGCTATTCAAGATACATTAAGGAGTGAAGGAGTGAGGGTTGAAATAAATACTCTGAAAGGAGTTTTGGAACTCTAGAATCCTCAAAATAAGCATATCCTTCTTGACAATGATCTGGCTAATCTTCTTGGAATTAAATGACATTTTCAAACCATCAACTTATCCAAAAGATTTAAATCATTCACCAGCAACCCTGTCCATTGCAATCTTTTGGATAAGAATGAAAACATATTCAATGGAGAGCCCTCAAGCATTCTTGGATGCTTCGACATTGTTGGGCAACCCTTTGATGGGTTCACTATCATTCTAAAATTCCAACCCACCAAAAAATATCACCAAGGAATCACATCACATCTATGCAAATTTTCATGACTGATGAGAATATGGAGATCATCAATTTCAATGGGCTTCCTTTGAGATTTGAGCTGGAAATAATTTGAAAAAAAATTGTTTTCTGAAAATATTTTGCCAAGCACTTCAAGCTGGGGGCCACCCAAGCACACCACCACTGGACTGCTTGGATTTCTTGGAGAGCAAAGCACTTTGAGCCAGGGACCATAAAGTGGTCCAAGTGGCACCCTGACTCAAAGAGCCTTTATCCTTCTTTCCCAGCAGATGCCAAGGATTTAAGGTTCAAGAAGATTTGTAACTACCAGAAGGAACTTGAGAATGAAATCAGTATTACTGCTTGATCAAAAACATCAGCAGGTTACTCTCACAACAAGTCACAAAGCACGATGGTTCATTGTTCATCTGTCTAGGATGTTTGAGTCACTTTCAAAATTAGGAAAAATTAGCAATTCTCCATCTATACTGCTCAAACAATGAGCATGGACAGTTGTTGATGTTGCAAGCAGATTCAAGGGTGCTCAACCTCTCTCCTCAAGACTCTTCTGACAGAGGTCTCAAAGGCTTTTCAGACAAAGAAGCTGAAGTACAATGGTTTCAGTTAAACGAAGCCTGCAGTTACCAATTAGAGATTATCTACTTTTACATTACCAGCTGACTTGCTTTGGAGTCACCAAACTCAACTTCAAAATCACGAAATATTTCAAAACTAAGTTGTTATTCTTACCTTGAAAATGTTAGAGCAATATCCAAAACAGTCCTGTAAAAATAAATCATAAATGAAACAAAGGAAATTGTCAACCAAACTCTAATTGTCCATAACTTCTCATTTCATTCTGTTTGTAAATCTAGTGCTCCTTCCATTAAATTGAGGCCATTTGTTCACTTCCTACCTTGACAAAAAAAAATTTTTGAAAAAGCAAGTTTCCAAGACATCTACATACAGTACAAAATATTCATACATATTATCTGAAAGGTTCAGTTAATAATTCTCAGAAAGCTGCATGTTACGAAGGGTTTTTATGTTTAAATCAGCCATTATTTTGTCTCTGCGGAAATAAATTTGAAGAATGTAGAACAGAAGGTCTAATTTTGACTGTGAAAGATAAAGCATAGAGGTCAAGATTATTGAACCAGCATGAGCGGAACTTCTCTAAAACACAAGTGGGGAAATCTTTACAAAAAAATATGCTTGAAGTAGCTTCAGAGGGAATTGGTAAAAAAAAAAAACCCAATACCTGTGAACACTAATGTTCTTTGTGCTGCTGAAGCAGTGTGTATTTTTCATAAACTTACAATATTGCACTACTCAACACTATGCAAGTTCACTCTTGCAATTTTAATGTCACCTTCATGTGGTAATCACTGATAGCAAGGTGCTGTTGAAGGTGCTGTTGCTATGCAGGGGTGTTGGGAGTACAACAAATTCCCTTCAAATATGGGAATAGTCCATTTCACAGTCGTGTGCTTAGTTGCCAAGCCTTAGAATAAAAGTGAGGCTGAGGTTGACCTTGTTATGATACAAATGTTGCTGCTTTTCAAATGAAAATTACTTTGTTATCAGGCTAACTAGATACTGGTCTCTATAACAACAAGGTCACCTACAGCCTCACTCCCAATCATATTTGGATATGATTTGATATTTTTTCTTGTCCTTAAAAGTGTTAAACAGAAGTCTATTTAGTTCACTGAGTTTAGGATTCAGAAGACAACCTGGTTCATTCTGAAGAGAATGAATAATTATTGGTATACCTTTTACAAGGCAGTTTGCAAAATGGCTTGGGCACTGGCAAAAACAGGTAGCTTAATGTGACTAGCTATCAAATTTGAGCCACCCAGTTGTGGGTCTGTGACTAGAGCAGTTTAGCTGCCAAGTTCCAATCATGTCATGCTTCATGTTTTAGACAGCCAATAAGATCATTTGTTTTCCCTCCACATGCATCATGAGGATCAATATGTGCGCACGAATGAACTCTTGTTTCGCGAACAAGTTGTTGCTACTATTTTATAGAAGATTTGGATCAAGGTGTGTGTAAATCGATTATTGGATGTACTTGGAAAGTTTGGAGAGCAATTCAAGAAGTTAGAGTCATTCTTGTTGCACTGCCCTCGTGCTATCCAAACTCTTCATGTGCATCAACAACGTGATATATGAGCATGTTAAGTATTCAATCCATTATGAAAAAAGAATCTTTAAATATACACATCCTACACGATCTCACCAATTTTTCTCCATCCTCATCGTCTATGTGGCAGTATTTCACATCCATCTTGTTTTTCACATTTGATTACCAAATTCATCCTCTTGACACTTTTTAGCTGGTATGTAGAATGAAATGCGAGGTCTTAAGTTTAATTTCTTTTCCGTAACTCTTTACACTCGTCTTAAAACATGTTACGAGAGGCGTTCAGCAATTCCGCAAGGCGTCCGGCCGGTGGCTGGGTAACCACGCCACGGTATAGTTAAGATGCATCGAACACATCCTGGTTAAGAGGGCCAAACAGATCAGTTGAAACGGTCAGGCGGTCGGTCAGGCGTCGTGAAATCCACGAAGATCTTTTTAATTAGTTCAACGTTACTATGCTGTTTTGTTAAGATTCCACCTAATTTCAACAAAAGGTATCGAAATATTAGTTTCTCACCGCGGCCATTACTGATCATCAACGAGAGTTTCAAGAGTGAAAAACAAAGTGAAGAGATATTTCCGTAAGTAGCAACATCTACTCATAGGCTTTTGGTAGAACTAACTTTGTATTATTACGCTCATTCGGGACTAGATTTAAGCTTACCTTACATTTATTCTTATATTTATTGTAATGTAGCGTTTTTCACACAGTCTCACAAGATTATCTGTCACGTGATCAGCTAGTCCAGTTTTCTACAATGGCTATCGTTTTTTAGTACACTTATCATGCCCTTTACTTGATTAGCTTGACTTGAAGGCAATTGCTTCAGAAAATTGCATCAAGCAGAGCAGTTTTTATCGTGTGTCCTAAAACGAAGACCAAGGTTATCACTATGGCCAGTTAGGGAAAAGGGAAACATCTATAGTTAGCCAATTAGAACTCTCAGTTAAGACAAGCAAACTGCACTAGGAAAACACAACTAATCCAGTTGCCTTTGGCTCTGGTTTACTTCTGACTGGTTTAGATTGTGAGAAAAGTTTTGTAGACCAATTACAGACAAAAGGAAAGAAAAATGACATCTTAAAGATCCAGTAAAAATTTCCCTTGGTGGTTCTGAAATGCAATGCAATTCAGCTCATGACCTCAGCTTAATTTTGATCAACATTGTAGAAGGAATAGAGGCACCAGTGTAAAGCTAATAGTTTGAAGAATGACTGGCTTAGGATTTTGCTTTTTGAGACTCTTGGTTTGAATTTGATGCAACAAAACTCTAGTGGACTTGAAGAAGTCTTGTTAAGTGTCTAAGTGGAGTACTTAAGTGATGTTCAATACTTATGTGTTGATAACTAAACTGACCTAGTTCCATTTTAAGTTTTAACTAATCAACAGTGTTAAGTTATAAGAAGAAACCTTGGAGCTCCCATCCTAGTTTTAGATAACAACTCAAACTTGTTTGTCTTTGTTATATGGGTTGGTCATTGTAGTTGTTGTACTGGTTGGTATAAAAAGCTATCTTGCAGCAATTTTTTTAGGCGGAGAAGTACTCTACATGTTAGTCATCACTTGTATTGTACAAAACAAAGTTCCTTTACTAAATCAAATGAAACATGCAATTTATTGGTTGAAAGACAGCAATAGAAATAATAGTTATTGTCATGGTTATTACTAATAATATTAATAAATTACTGCATGTAATAATTTTTCGGCTCAAATATTTAATAGAATCATCAAATGGCCACTGATGTCGTCAAGAAGCAATCAGCTAAAGGATGAAATTCTTAATCAGATTGCAGAGCAGATAAAGGGAGTAAGTGTTGGTTGCTGTGGTGTACACGTTTGTCATCACTAGTTTGTTGTTGCAGTGATATTAGACAGGGCGTGAAATTAATTTATTTTTCTGATAGCCACTTGGCTCCTAAATTCTTCAAAGTGGTAGCCAATTCAAAAAAAGTTGGTCGCCATTTTCAAACACAAACAAACCCCTTTTTTTACGCTGTTATCGTTCTAGAAATTAAGTTAGGGAAAAGATCTTTAACGTGCTGCAAAGTGGACAATAGAATGGATGATATGCAACGTTCAAGCTCACCTAAATCCATCCTAAATCTAGTTATCGATCGAGAGGCATGTGCTGCATTTTGGAAACAAACTTAATGAGGAAGTTTGCTGCGGATTTATCTTTGCAAATCTTTTTAATTTACTATATCTCTAGGTAAGGTTATGATGAAACATTCTAGTTGCCAATTTGGCGACTAATTTTTAGGATTTGGTCGCCAAAGTAAAAAATTTAGTCGCATTGGCGCCTGTATTAGGCGCAATTTCATGCCCTGTTAGATTTATAGAAATCTGTATTTACTAATTCATAATAGTTTTAACTTACTGACTGCTGGCTTTATTTGATATTTAATTTACAACCCATCTTTTATTTCAGTTCAAATTATGATGAATGCAGGTACTGCTATTTAAACAAAATTTAATATGTCTTTTCACTGTAATGTGTGACTTTGTGATTATAGTTACAGCTTGGACATCAAACAGCCTTAGATGACGGTAAAACTGACTTTCAGGTCACTGCGAACAATATTCACCTACAATGCTTGTTGGACCTCTTAGATCACTTTCTACTTCATGGGTAAGCCAATTATTTCAAAGGGGTGAAAGTTATCTTGCTCTATATTGATGTGAAAGCATAAAGTGCCTTTCCCAATGATCAATAAATGCTTTCCTGTCTTTCACCTTATTCATAGCTGTGGGGTTTAAATAATTCAAAGTGCTTACAGTAAAAAAGTTGCAAGGTTATATTTCAACTGCCCAAAACAAAAATATAGCATGCTAATC